TTTGAGAGTTTGCTTTCATTAATGGATAGTAGTCAATCTCAGCGTTGCAGGCAAATTATTTTTAAACCACGCATATATATATATATATACACACTTAAGAAGAGCATGTGTTTCCTATGATCCACAGGTCTACTCTTTAGCTGTCAGTGGGTCTATACCTAATTTTCCTGCTTTACACATGAAGACACAAAGATGATTAAAATGAACCTGCATTCTTACTTAAATCACATATTCCTATAAGAACACACAAAATTAAACTGTCCCCTACACCTTAAATAGCTACAAGATATTTAAAAATTGTTACTATTCCTAAGAGCCTTGTTTAGAACCTGCCACAAGCTCAAGATGATAAAGAATCTTCAGGGTACAGGAGTGTACTGGGCACAGGCTACTGGAGATTCATGAATAATTGGATAGCTACCTTCTACAAAAGGAGATGTGAATGTAAAGAACGAAAAAATATACAAGTACCTACATGCCAGATGAAGCCTCCCAGTTTGTGGTTTACCAGTATAAACAAATAGCTTGAAATTTTTCCTTCCCTCTCAGCTATGGGCTCAAATCTTGTCAGCACAGGTTTGTGATTCATCCTCCACGTTGATGCAATTAGTTCCATAGTGTTAATTGTGAGTATTACCAAAAAAGTGTCTGTGGTTCATTTCTTTCTGAATGGTAATTAAAAAGCATATTAATGCAATTTCTAACATTTGGGTGGGCTCTGGGTTTGTTTTTCCTTTCCATTAGCACATGAAACCACTCTTTTTCAGGACAGTTTTCCAGACACTCATCCAGCAATTCACAGCTGATATGCCACTCAGGGTGAGCCATATCACCTACAAAGATACTTGGCATAAAAATTTATATAGAGGCAGACACAAAGTTGACTTATGGCTGAACTCTACTTTGTTAGGATGTAGTCTAGTAATGTAACAATGTTGTATCAATATTACAGCCTAAAGAAACCAAAAAGTAAGAGATTTCTCAAATAACAGAATTAAAAATAGTTCTGGTCCTTTAAAACTCCTCCTATAGCTTTCTCTGTTGAAAGCATTCCTTTAAAAGGACAGCATATTCCCACAGAAGCCACAGTTATTTTCTTTATACAAAGAATGCTAAGAAAAGCAGGTTTTAATTCCACATGTCTAAACTGCAGTCTCTAAAATCAGAGGATATTAGCCTAAAACACAGTTTACTGTGCTACAGGTACCTGGCCAGGCAGTGTTAATTTCAATGGATATTATCTGCCACTTAAAACACTGACCCAAATTTTTCATTCCAAGTATCTACAAACCCCACCAACAAGTGGAACTCAAAATACAGGAGAAACAACCTCTATGAAGAATCTGGTTTCACAGAAGGCAGGATAGACTAATTGCTTTCTCAAGTCACAACAAACCCAGCACAACACTCATATTCACTTGCTCCGAGCTGTCAATTAGTACACATAGGCAAAACTAGACGATTTAAGTGTGCAAAATACTCAAATGGAAAACTAACTGGAAACATGCTCCACTTTCATTCCATGTGATTTTTTTTTAAAAACTTTGTTCACAAACACAAGCTTGAGATAGATACAAACAATTTCCACTACCTGCCAGAAGTGTTTATTGGCTGCAATCACACAAGTGAAATTAAATGGTACTGTTGAAAGAAATCTTAAAACACTGTTCAACAGAAACAGCATATCCCTAGGCAAAAAAAGCTCACCAGGTGAAAGAAAAGTGGCACCATCACTGTCTTGGCTCAAACATCCACTGACACTATTAATCATCAGTTAAGAGATCCTCACCACCTGCGACACAGTCAACTGCAACTTACAACCTTGATTTGTCCGCAGCACTACAGTGCAGTCATCCTCAATTACAAGCAACACAACAGCAGCTGCTCCTGCCTCACATGCTTACCAGGAAAAAAAAAGTTCTTAGTTTTCTCAAGACAGAAAGCCTGTACCAACTTTTCCATGCACTCTTCCTGCCACGTTATACTCGGCTTTTCTTCCAAAAATTGAGAAAATTGATAAAATTAGTGAGTTGCTTTTATTTGTATCCACTACCACTATCTAGTTAATCTATTTCAACTATTAATAACTTATTTTAAAGAACATACATGGCTAAGCTGCAAATGAAAGTAGAACAAACCTGTATGTCTCAAAACTACTGCTTTACTTAATCCCCTACTACTGTAAGTAGTGAGGAGGCTGAATTTTCCTTGTATTCAGCACCATTTGGTAGTTCCTGTTCTAGCACAACCCACAGGGGATACTTGTACTCCAGTATCTCCTGTGATATATCTGTGCCATTACTACAGGCTGACCATGTTGTATGACTGAAGGTCTGCCCAGTATAAATGCTTGCACAGGTAGTTTGACTAGGAAAACAACCACAGCAAAATACAGAACAGTGGCAGCACTGCAAAGCATGGCAAGGAGGGATTCTGTGAGGAACAAGTCATACAGTGTTCAAAATGAATAAGGATACTCACCCAGGACTGCTACTGAGCTGCAACAGTATCAGGAGCTTGCCAACCCAGCAAAGCCCCCACCAGAAAGAAAAACCCTGCAGACACATAAACTACATAAAACATATTTGAAAAGCCATCAAAACGAAATTTCTCCAAGTCCCAACACACACACACTGTCTAGATATAACGAAGACCAGTACTGTCCCTAAGAACAGAAAAATAGGAAGCAATAGGAACACATCTTCCCTCCAGAGCCACTAAGATAGGCTGCTTAGCTAAGCACTAAGTCTTGACCACATAACACCAAATCATGCCTTTTTGGAGGTCTTCTCTTTTATTAGGCTTTCCAGAATTTAATATACTGGAAATAGTGTTACAGAACATACAATCAAGTTGCATCCCTCAGTCTTGCAAATTACACTAAGTGATACCCATTTTTATATATATCTGAGAACTGCCTTCCAGAAGGGTATCATCAGGTCTACGACTAGCATCACTCACTTAACCAACAATAGTCAGAGCACTGATGATGAATTTATTTCCATCCTGTAAGAAGAAAGGCTTTCTGCAAGTTGCACATCCTGAAGTACCAATCCACTCATTTCCACAGAACCAGTGTTTTTCTGGAGCAGTAAAGGCAGTACATTTACTGGTCCATTATAAAACATGATGAACCACTACAACAGAGCCTTGGCCTTTCAGCTGATTGCCTATGGATTATTTACAGCTCAGCAGACTTTAGGTCAAAAGTGACAGAAAGCATTGTAACAACACTTCCTGCCTGCTTCCCTCTCATGCACACACAGGTACATCACAGCTCATCAGCTGAGCTCAGTAAAAAAAGTTTCTTTTCAAACAGAGACATACAGCTGTACATTTATAAGCAATACTATGGAAAATGTATACGGACAACAGCAGAGTGACTGATAAAGTTCTCTCACTCCTCTGCTTCCATAAGCACCAAAACCAACCAAATAATATAGACAGTGGTGTTTTGCAGCCACCATCTGCACCTTCAGTTTTTCAGCAGTATTCATGATCAGACTAGCCATCTGTGTAATCTTAAAGAGCTTCATATGCACTAGTCTATCCTCACCAAACTGGCAATGACAAATGCTGAAGTCCTATCACACATACTGGGACAGCTGCACACAGGACACACTTTGAAGCTTACTTCAGATGTTCTCTTCTAAGAACTTGACAGTCAGACCTTACCAGCCAGTGTCCACTGACTCCTGCACAGTTTTATTCAGGACTTCAAAGGCTTCATGACCCCAGCTTGAACAAAGCAATCCTTTTTGCACAAAAACTACCATTCTGTTCCACATGCTGTTTAAGTGTTCTCTCTCATTCATATTCTGATTTCCACTTAGTTTTCAGTTATCATAGGAATTCCAAAGCCCCTGCCTTGGCCAGGCACATTTTCACTAGAATGGGTTACTAAAAGTTTGAAGACTTCCAGGTATGAGGCAGACAAAATTTCTCTAGGCAACCCGTTTCAGTGACTCACTGGTACCACAGTAAGAATTTCTTCCTTTACAATATGTAATGTAAACCTACTCTCTTTCAGTCTGAAGCTACTCCCCCTTGTCCTGTCACTATGTGCTCTAGTAAATAGCCCTTCTCCATCCTCCTTGTAAGCTCCCTTCAGGTACTGGAAGGCCACAAATAGGTCATCTCAAAGCCTTTCCAGGCTGAAAAATCCCAATCCTCTCTGCCTTTCCTCGCAGAAGAGCTGCTCCACCTCTCTAATGATCTTGGTGGCCCTCCTCAGCACCCACGCCAACAGGTCAATGTCCTTCCTGTGTTGGGGATCCCAGAGCTAGATGCAGATAGAAAAAAAAAATCAAATATAAACTAGGTTTGGTCCCATCCCTGCATCATTCATCAGAAGTCAGCCCTTATGAACCAGGTGTGAGCCCCAGGTGTGCGCTGTCATCCTATTTGCATCCCTTACCATGCACAAATCTCATCTACTCAGGTGAAAGAACTTTCATTTGTTGCAAATGAGTGAGGACTCTGAAAATATCCATCCTGCTGTTTCTTCGAAGCTCCAAAAGTTTAAGGAACAAGAGTTGATCACACCCACTTGTACTGAGAGTGAGAAACCCTGCTGCTATGAATACAGCTTTGACTGAAATCCTCAAAACAAAAGGCCTTGCCTGCCACTTAGGATCTGTCCAATGAATGCACAAAAAAGACTCTGGGCAGACCATTCAAGCACCTTCAAGAGCTTGAAGTTCATCTTGGGTCACAGGATGCTCTGAAACTCACCCACTCAATAAGCCACCCCTGAATATTCCCCTCGTTACATATTACAGGTACACCAATTCCCACGAGTAGCCCTAATTCAATTTTACTTCCTACTAGTTTCCAAAGGCATTTTTCCCCCAGTAAAATGTACTCCCCTGCGGGAGCTGCCTGGCACGGGGCCAAGGGCACCAGGACGGCACCTCCGGCCCCGGGCCCAGCGCGGCCGTGCCCGCCCTTGGCCTCCGGGACGGCACCTGCCCGCGCCCGGCCCGGCCCGCCGCACTCACCCAGAAGAGCAGGTTGAGGGCGTAGAGCAGGCAGCGCAGGCACTTCACCGAGTCCTCCCTGGCCATGGCGAGCCCCCGCGGGACACAGCCCCATCCTCTCACCACATCCTCCCGCCCGAGGCCGGGCCGCCGGTGCCCTGCAGGGGAAGAGGGGGAGAAGGGTGGGCGAGTCCGCCTTACAGAGGGACCAGCGCGCAGGTGGAGGCGGCGGAGCCGCGCCGAGCCCGGACCGGCCGCGCCCCGCGGAGACCCCCGGCAGCCTCCCTTCCCCTCCCGCCCCGCCCGGAGACAGCGGGGGGCGAGCGGGTCTCCTAAAAATATTAAATGCGGGAGAAGCCGCGGGCTACCCCAGCGGCACAGCGGAGCTGAGCTGAGGGCAGCGGAGGCACGGCCCGGGGACGCCAGCTCCCTCTCCGCTCAGGCTGGACGCGCTGCCCTGGGAGGCTGGGCGGCCGTGGGACAGCGGCCACTTACCGCCGGGACGCCTCCCGCACTCACTTGCTCCGGCGAGGACTCATGGGGCCGGGGCTCGGCAGCGCAGCGCGGAGCCGCGGCGCCCATGCCCTGCGGCGGGCGCGGGGAAAGGTCGGGTCCCGGAGAAGGTCCGTTCCGGCCGCCGCCCGCCCGGTCCTAGCGCCGCCGCCAGCGCCGTCCTGGAGCGGACAGCCCGCGGCGGGAATGGGCAGGGCCGTGCCCGCGGTGAGGCCGTGCCCCCGGCGGGAATGGGCAGGGCCGTGCCCGCGGTGAGGCCGTGCCCCCGGCGGGAATGGGCAGGGCCGTGCTCACGGTGAGGCCGTGCCCCCGGCGGGGCTGTGCCCCCGGTTCCCGGGCAGGGCCGTGCCCCCGGCGGGGCTATGCCTCTGGCACACACGCTTGTGCCCGGCACCCTCCTTGCGGCGGGGCTTGGGAGCTGGTGGCCTTTTTCCCTTCGGGGGAGATGGGCTGACTGGAGTTGAATGACATGAAACCCCCTCCTCTTGTGACACTTTGGCCCAGGGTGGCAAATGCCACACGAAACGCGTTTGCAGTGTTTCACAGACATCTCACGAAGTTCCTGCATCTGCGCCAGAAATTAAACTCTGCCAACATCAGCCCCAAATCTGGTCATTGACAGCCCAGCACCCACTCCCTCTGCTAAACAGCAAAGTTAAGAAAAGCAACCCTATTGGAGAGATATTCTAGAAATGCTCAAAATCTGTAGTTATTATTTAGGAAAAATGGCCATTGACTTGCCCTGTAACGTGCATGGAACTTTCAGATGACACCACTGAGCTGAAAAAAGTCATCCTTCTGAAATGCTTTAGTGTGTGTGCATCTGGTGATCAGGGTAGGAATTCTGTAGAATCAGACCTTACAGCTCATCTAGTTCCAGCCCCTCTCAACCTTGCAGCTGACCTAGTTCCAGCACCCTCTGAAAGGTGTTCTGCTCCTCTGCAGCGAGCACCCTTCACCAGGCTGCTCAGAGCTCCATCCAGCCTGGCCTTGAACACCTCCAGGGATGGGACATCCACAGCTGCTCTGGGCAACCTGTTCGAGTCTTCATCACCTTCACAGTAATGAATTTTTTCCCCAATATCAGTCTAAACCTTCTCTATTTAATTAATACTGATATCTGTATTGTTACAGTGTGTGTGTATATATATATATACACTTATTTCAAAACTAAGAATTATATTTAAAATTCAGAGTTACATGCAGATTAGTAACAGATTTTCCATTAATACATATAATGGTGTTGCAGTGCCACCACCACAAAAATTAGAAGAAAATATACTGAAAAAGATTTCTTAACTAGAACAGGAAAATACTCTTGAGTTCATGATATATACAGGTTGTTTTAACAACTGGTAGTTAAAGCTGAGAAAGAGGAAAAAGGGCATAATGGATAAAATCTAGCTCTTGTAAGGCCAAAGAAAAATCTGTTTCTTGAAGAAACAGTGTCTTTTGTTGAAAAACCACACAAAGTCCAGATATTCAAATGCTTATCACTGAAGCTGCTGGTGGAATCTCAATTCAGTTTTAATTTCACTGTTTGATGCTCTCGTGGTGAACCGGGGCAGAGTCTTCAGGTGTATTTGCTCCTCCTTAAAAGAAAATTAAATGACCATGGAAGAACATAAAATCCCATGCAACAGGGATTTTATGACAAATTTATATATGTGAAATTTGTAGTAAAGTTGAAAATAGTTAAGTATATTGCAGAAAAGTAGCATGTGAAGATTTTTCCTCCTTGAAATTTGCTAAGCTTTAACTGCTATTTTGATCATCTGTGAAATCATGAGCCTATCTGGGAAGTGTAGTAGCCACATTTAAAATCTTCAGTGAGTGTTGATAATTCCATACCTAAACAAGGCACATTGAGCTACAACAGATACTGCTAAAAGGTGACATTGTACATTCATTCTGCTGTTTACATACCATTCATTCTTTTTATTACTACAGACTTCACATGAACACAGTCAGTTAGACAGATCTTGAACAGGTATGGTGTTTTCAGTGAATCTATGCCAGTTTACAAAAACAGTGTCAGTTTACAACTGAGCTCCAGCCTTGGCTAAGAACAATCTAATCTGATCTAAACCAACATAAAAATAACTCACGTTGTGTTTGTGTTATTAATTCTTCCTGGGAAGAGAACAAATTGCTTGAGCAAAATTTTATAAAAAATGCACTGCAAAAATGTTCAGTTATCTTAGGCTCAGTGATTTTTCTTTAAACATGCCTAAAATAGCATACACGAAGTTCTCTTACTCATTTCAGATATTTTTTGGTTTACTGTAAAACTATTCCTAAAGTGTGATAAGGAAATTAAGGGGAAAAAAAATCAGTCTCTTAGACATCTTAGACTGTTAAAAATCCTGCTAAAAATGGCACCTCAAGATTTTATGTCTCTAAGTTTTCATTCTTTGAGGTCTTTGGTCATAAGACACTCTCAGAGTAATTTTTTTTTTTAAATTCTGTTGCAACAACTTCATGACAAATATAAAGAGGGTCCCCTAGTTAGTTAAACAATTTCTCTGTCATTTTGTTGTTAGCTAAATCATTAGCTGTCCAGAAGAGCTTTTGCTCAAAATCTAAAGAAAACAGGTCCTCTTTATGGATGTCTGCTCTAGTCTATAGGGGCAAGAGCAAGGTCTCTTTGGAATACTGCTTTCCACCAGGCTGTCAAACTTTGTGATATTTCCATGATGTCAGCACTGGGAAAGAAATACACAGGCAGTTCCCATACATTTTAAAGAGTAACCTGTTTATTTAGGGCAAGACAAGAGAGTATTTTTTACAAACAGAAGTATAATGGTGAAGCTCTTTATAAGTTTTTGAAATATGTGTTTGTTGTTAGCAAGTAATGCTTATTTAATGCACACAGAGGCATATGAACGTGAAAAGCCTTGTGGATTGGTATTTTTTGCTTGGATTCCCAGATGCCTAATAAACTACAATCTGAGAAGCTTCTTTTTCTGTCACAGGACATCCACAATAGCTTTCTAATATGAATTCTATAGACTTAAATAAAATGTTCATGATACAGTCTTTCCATCAATGACAGAAGAGGGGGATGGAAATTAAATTAACTCAAATAATCTCTTTCCTCTGCTTATCTGCCTATTTCAATTTGGTGTATGGAAACATAATATCCGTAAGTTACCTCCTCTTTGTCAGATGTGCTTGAAATTAGCCAGCAGGTTCAAAAGCTGTTAAAAGGATGTGGTTTGATAGACATTTAGTGTGTATGAATACAACAGTATGGTTTTGTTTCCTTGTCAGGAAACCTGAATAAAAGAGCAGTAGTTACTAAAGACACCCATCCAGCACATGGCTGAAAGTGTCTTTAATTTAAATTATGTGAACAAGTGGAATAGCATTAGGCATGCATGTAAATTTATAGCTGATAATTGCCTGTTAATATTTGGCAGGAAACTTCATCACTGAAAAAGTGATTAGTTAAATAATGACCTTTTATATGCCACCATAGCATTTAAAATTACTCAGAAGAGCAGTGAATGGAGGAACATACACATGGATGTGCTTTAGCACATATTCAGTTTAATTCTGTGTTGTATCTACTCCTCTTGGTCTACTCCAATGAAGAAATTGTTCATGGACAGGTTTATTTCCAAGATTTTAGTATAAACTAGAAATGTCTTTGGTGGCACCATGGCAGTTCTTAATGAGTTAATATTTTTTTGCTGCCACATTGTCTGTTAGATGTACAGATTCTGTGATCCCTTTAATTTCCATGGTGTTTGTGAAGTTTTCAGCATAGTTAGGTCACTCCTTTCTACAAACAGCTTTTTAATTCCAAGTCCCTGCCAGGTACAGCCTGGGCAGGCAAATCCTATAACTGACCTCTGTCTGCAATGAGTAATTTGCATGACTAACAGTGTCAACACTGAATTCAGGATGGATTTCTGAAGCTAGCTTGTCAGTGTCTCAGGTAGGCAACTCATCATTTAGTCTTGCCTTCTCAGTCTTTTTCTTGATTGTAATGGTATTCTGTACTTTGGTTTTATGTGCTTAGCTTAGCTCTTTCTCAGCTTTGTTCCTGATCTGCCTGCTCTTTAGCCTAGACTCAGACTTAATTCCCTTTGTTCGTTTGAGCTGTTTTCTCTAGAACCCTTATCTCTATGTTTCTCTTCTTCTGGTCTTTACTTGGTACCTTTCTTAACTTCACTGGGGTCTGGTTTGCCTTGCTTTTAAACTTGCTTCTTGTCTGGTCATCAGCTCTGGTTATGACTGTCTGCCCAATGAATATGCCTCTCTAATGACAGGTTTAATGTCAAGGGCAGGATGGAGGTTTGTTTAGAAAAAAATTATCAGATACACAAACATCTTTAAAATGGAAAGTGTTCTAGTTGGGTCAGGAATAGCCTGTCTTGTAAAAGCATGTTTGTAGCAGAACCCAGCATTGCTACCATGAGGTAGAAGTTTCCTTCTTTCTTTTGAAACAAAGACATCAAAAGGCACCAACTTTTTCTTGTCTCTAGAGCTTGGTTTTACTTGAACATGTAAACAATGGTCTGGAATAAGGCAGCACTTGAAATTAATAAAATACAGATTAACAAGATTAAGTAATTAAAACCATAGTCTTGGAAACACTTTGGTTTAATGGGCTCGTGAAAATGGTCTTTCTGGGCTGTGAGCTTACACTGCCAGATAATGTTGAGCTTCTTGTCCAACAATGCCCCAAAGTCCTTCTTCTTGAGGCTGCTCTCAATTAATTCTCTTTCCAGCCTCTGTTTATGTTATTGTGATTCCCCCAACCCAGGTGCAGGACCTTGCATTTGGCCTTGTTGAACTTCATGAGGTTTGCATAGGCCCACCTCTGAAGTCTCCTACGTTCCAGTTTCTTACCAATGATCTTCAGAGTCCTGTGGATTATAGTCCACACTTCCTTTTCAGGCACAACAAGGGATTTTACATGAGCAAAGAGCACATTTTATTATCTTTGATGTGTCAACAGCACTGCTAGTTATCAAGGTTGCTGACACTTCTTATCATATAGCCCTGGTGCTGTGGTAGTACAAAGGAGATCCCGTCACTAGAGAGCAGCTGCTTTGGAGAACTGTAGTCAGTCTCCACTGTGAAGTTCCCGTGTGGCAACTTGCTTTAATCACATTTTCC